TATATATATATATATATATATATATATATATATATATATATATATATATATATATATATATATATATATATATATATATATATATATATATATATATATATATATATATATATATATAACAATATTTCTCTAAAGTCATTAATGGACTTAATCGCTCACATCGACACAACATTTTTGTCCAGACGGATTATTATGGCCTGCTTCGTAGCAGTCCAAGCCGAGAAAAGACCTAGAACTACTTATCATGGAAAAAAAGCTATTTATCTTTTGATTTGCAGCAATTTAAAGTCAGTTCATTGCCCAATTGTCAAGAGTGCATCGTTTTATAATTAATCCTTCTATATTGATCTTATGTAATTCTACAAAACGGAAAACTTGCCAAAAATGCGAGAAAATGAGCTTCGGATTTGTGATTATCCAAAGTGCACCTACTCCAATAATAAGCTTTCTTATAGCATTTGTCATTGGATTTTAAGCTGTTTACGAAGTTTCAAATATTGAATTCCTGGACTGACGCATGCCAAAAAAAAAAATAAACAGATTAAGACTGACAGTTGATCCAGCATCAGGTGGACTAATTCATGTCAATCTGCCTTTTCATATCTACATTCAAAAACAAAAAATTAAACAGACAAAAATTTGAAGTTTCTTGTTTTGAAAAGCTGAAATAAAGTTGGTGGAAGGATAAAAAAGTATTTTCCTAACAAAAAGTATGGTTTGGTTCTGTAGCTGAGTAAACAAGTAATGAACGTCTTCAACAGTATCTATAGAGAGACAGTTGTGCCAACCCGCACATGTCATGTGTATCTTCGATGCTATTCTACCAATTTGATCATTTGTTAGCATTCTAACAGTTCTAAAATTTCATTTCCAAAACACTATCCATTTACATGCGTCCTCCTTACTCATCCATCCATCTCTCATAAAAAATGAGCATTCGAAGACAATGTTACACCGTCAGTTATTCATTAAATTTAAGATGTCAAAAGAACTGTATAGTATAATTTAACACAAAGTTAATTTTGCTATCAACAGATTCATCAGAAATACCTGGCCAATCGTCGCATCATGGCCATTTCTGGGTACTAGATAAGACATTGCTCAAGTTATTTGATCATGCAAACTCAGTTATTTAAAATATGTCATTTAATGCATCAATGGTTTGTACTTCGATGTAGAATTTGATACCTTATTTTTGAACTTTATTTGTGAGGAATCTTTGATTCCAGTAGCCCATCAAATTAAGCTAAATATCCGTGAAGCTCTTTAACCTATCTCTCTACAATAAATGACATACATGCAATGTTCAGGTCGCATCAAATTTTCCCCAATCCTATGAGGAAGTCATGCAGTTATCCATTTATAGAAGCAAAAATATATCATTGTTATACTTCTTTAAAGCGTGGACGTACTTATTTTTAAAATGAAAGTTGTCTAAATCGAAACAATTCCAATTAGTTGTTCCGGAAGCGTTTTAATGTTAAAAGCAATGTACTATGAGCAGGGTGAATTTTCATGTATGAAAAATTAGTATATGGTTGGTTGCTTTTCATCTCGGCATGAAGTCGTTGGAAATTTTCGAGATTTTATTAAAAATTGTGACAAACTACTGAATTACCACGACGAAATAAAAAGTGGAAAGAGATCAAATTGAAATGATATATTGGGATTGTATTTGCAGTTGTTTTCCAACAATCTGTAATCGATCTGTCCGGAATGCTTAATTTCTTACTCGACTGTTAATCTCATGATTAATTACTGAGAAAGTTGTCAT